AATCAGTCTGTTTTCATTATCAACGAAATTATAGGAGCCCAAAGGCCATTAATTCATACTAACTTTGATTTCAGAGCGTGATCCGGCAACAATTGATCCAATAACTAAAAAAGTCCAAATAGAAACAGTCGCAGTGATAAGGAAAACCTGAAAAAGTGTAAATTTATTCTGTACGTAAAGGAAATACATTATAAGAATATATTATATAAGCTGAAATGATAATTGTCATTTTTTTCTTATATTAAATACTATTTACTGGTGGTAGGACCTCTTGTGAGTCCGCGCGGGTGGGTACCACCGCCCTGCCTATTTCGGCCGTGAAGCAGTAATGCGTTTCGGTTTGAAGGGTGGGGCAGCCGTTGTAACTATACTGAGATCTTAGAACTTATATCTCAAGGTGGGTGGCGCATTTACGTTGTAGATGTCCATGGGCTCCAGTAACCACTTTACACTAGGTGGGCTGTGAGCTCGTCCACCCATCAAAGCAATAAATAAAAAATAAATAAAAATGTAGGTATAAGATTGTTGCATCGTCATTTGTTTTTCAAGTACAAATTTTAAGCAAATCGGATATCTTAGGTTACTACCTACATAGATATTATTAATTGTTACGATAATAGTTATTACATTTATAGATCAGTACAGGTCAAGATAATATAAGATAATAATAAAAATTAAGGATATGTTTAGGCAAGTACTAACTAAACGTAATTATTTGAATCTTACCGGTAAGCTATATATTTCGGTGATCAAACGGTAACATTTGAGAATATTAAAAATCAAAGACTGATACTTTATAAATGTATAATTTTTCATTCGTGTTCCATTATTCTTTATTTTTGGCATAATTTGGAAAATCCACGAACCGCAAATCCACGATCTTGAACGTCGAATACCTGAATCTTTCCTAAGCGGCAGGTTTCTTTTGTAATACATCGCGATCCGATCATTAATATAAGCCAATCGTAGCGTTAAGTTCGCTATAAAAAATGCAGTCACAAGAACATCCACATAAATTATTGTAAGGCCCAAACCCAGGAAGAATGTTTTGTATGGTTGATCGATGTAATCAAAAACATGAATTAAAAAGCCAGAAATAAAAGGCACAGTGACTAGTATTAGTAAAAAAATGTAAATAAGACGAATTTTCTTAAACAACACCGTACAACGATCCAGTTTTAACAAACGATCTATTTTTTGTATATTAATAAAGAGATCGGTGTCAGCTTCTCTCGTTAAAAACTTGTCATATGTTATAGTTACAAGATATGTTAAATATTGCGAAGAAGTCCCCAAAGAACACCCTAAAAATAGTATCTTAGATCTCTCATAGTAATACGAATAAAAAAAAGAAATGAAATGGTGTATTGAATATGAAGCTGCTAACATCCATAAAAATGCATACAATTTTTCCCAGTTGTTTGCGACAGTAATTTTGTTTTTAGCTTTTAAAGAAATACGATTAGAGCCAAGAAACTTTTGGTATTTATATATTGGAGAAAAACTCATATTTATATACTCTTCTAGATAATTTCCACTCATTTTTTCCAATATATTTGAAACAAGATACGATATCACGTAAGTTAGTACACACTTCTTTTACAGAATCAGAAATAACGAATTGAAATTAAAATGTTCNTGCTCATTTATTTTGCGTCGATCGGTCTGTCTCGCTCGCTCGGTTCCGTTCGTGTATTAAGCAACATTACACGACAAAGAAAGAAACATGTTGGGTGATAGTGTGATGTTTGTTTCCTTCGCGTAATGTGTGATGTTGCATTACATCGTAGAGTAATATTACCCGAGTAATATCACTCGCATTACTTACACATGTCTACAACACATCACTTAAGTAATGATTCGGGTGTATAGATACAATGTATTCGTCGTCACAGTATCTATTGAACGCACCGAGTAATGTTAAGAGTGATGTGTAACAGTGTAATGTTTTCGAGTAATATCACCTGTCTGTGAAAGTGATGTCATATCACATTACATTGGGAAGTGATTTTTTGCGCATGTCTAGTCGACAACCTGCCGTTTGACATATGGAGAAGTTTCAATCAAGTTGTTTCTATCGTGAACTATTATGGACCACTGCGTCACTGATTACAGTGAATGGTGGTTTAACAAAAATCCTAATGTTAAGTGGTTACCGTTATAACCCATAGACACTTTAAAATATGGACTATGGGGATTTTTATAGTTTTCGTTTGCAACAAACGATGGCGCGTTTTACATTTTACGTCTAGCGACATCTATTGACGTACATCAAAAAGTATTCGACAGTTTTTCGTTTGAGCTTTATGAGTTGAGTAAACTTATTTATTTTTAAAATATTCCGTAATACGTTGTGTTAATTTTTGCTGTCCTAAAATTAATGAACTTATGTCCTACATGATTTGAAATGACTAACCAAGATCATAATATCGACAACAACAGCGCTTAACCTAAGCGCATGATTATATAGTATTAAATTTATTTTATAATTTAAATTTTAATAATATATTTATAATTTATAATTATTTATATGTATGCATGTTGAAATTGTCTCTTATTAAGCTTTAAAACTTTGAAATGTATGAAATTAATTACTATTTTCTTTTCTATCACAAAAGATTTTTCCATAGTGTGATTTGGATGTAGGTAGAAACGCCATCTATTGAATTTTTTTGTCAATATTTTAATGATTGTGATACTTGAAGTATCAGAGATTACCACATTTTCGTGTCCCTAAAATGTACTCTAATGTAATAATAACGAATTATAAATTATTACTATTTCCATCTGACCATCATAAAGGAGAGAATAAAGTGAAATCGAAAAATAATAATATATTGAAATTCAATGTTTTAGTAAGCTGTCAATAGATGGCGCTTAACGCAAAATACCAGTTTTATACTTGGTTCGATTCGAGTAAGTATTTCTGTATTATACAGTAAAAGCTCCTTAATCGCGCTTCCTTCATTCGCATTTTCACTATTTGCGGATTAAAAATGCGACCCAATTCCTATATTCGCGGCTAAATATTTCTTTATTCGCGGATTTAATCGATACATCATTGATAAACAAGATTCCAATGTGTAGGTGCCTTCCAACCGAATATCCTTTGTACCATCACCATGCCATATTCACAGTATCTGTATTCGCAACATATTTACGGAACATATAACCCGCGAGTAAAGAGTCCCCCAGTCCCGCATACCCCGCGCGCATCCTAGCCGTGGGGACCTAGTAGGTCCGGCCCCCGGCCCGAAAAAAAAAAGGTCTATCCGGTCTATCCTATTTCTTAAGCCAGACCCCGGGCGAAACTAATTAGTGATCCCTGTCCACAGATAATTTGGAATTGGGGGCTATCTGTGTCCCTGTCAAAACCAATTACCAATCCAACCAATTACCAACTTAAACGGCCGTCTGGTGTAGTGGTAAGTGACATAGTCACTACACAAGGGGGTCGCGGGTTCGAATCCCGCCATGGGAAGATATTTGTATGATAAATATAAAATGTCTTTTCCAGGGTTATGGATGTAAGTTCTTTACGAACTTATCACGGGACCAGTTAACGTGGCGTGATTAAAAAAAAATATCAAAACAAACTACCACTTTTCGATATGCCGTATTTATTAATCACATTCTTAAAATAACTAATTAATAAACTAATCATATAATTACATTTTATTTACATTATACAATAATAATTAGTTTATTTATGATTAAAAATTTAAATTTACGAATTACGAGTATTTCTTAGACTTTGACATTACGATGTGTCAATTCAATACAGATTATGCTAGAGAATAAGAATTTGTGACGTGAGGTTTGTTTTTTTATTTTCTTATCTTATTTTAAAACTATTATAATTTTATAGTAAATCAATGTTATGACAGTAAAAAACGCGGGAACGAACCATAAAAGTAATCTTAATTTTGTCTTATTATCTATGAGTCGCGAAAAGCGAACTAAGTAGGTACATTATTTATTACATTTATAATATCGATCTTAATCTACAATTAGTATTACAATAATTAAATTATGCAATTAAATTGATTGCTTTGACGAAGTTTTATTTAACACACTAACTGCCGTGTGGGTCACCGGTGCCTTACGCGGCGCACTGAAGTAATTACGTCTATTTCTGTTACTAAGGCGCCTGGATTGACTAACTCTTTGCCTTAATTTGTTTGTTAATGTATGTCTTAGTCGTTTAAGTCTTAGAAATAGATTCTTTCTCAGTATCGTTCGGATTCGTTTTTAAATTAATTTGAATTAAATTTTAATTGCGCTTGCATCTGATACCGTTCCCAAAAGCTATAGGTAGTAGTAACACAGTGAGTTTCTCGCCGGAACTTCTCAGTGGGTCGCGTTTCCGATCCGGTGGTAGATTCTGCGAAGCACTGCTCTTGCTAGGGCCAGTGTTAGCAAATTCTCTCCGGTTGAGCCCGTGAGCTCACCTATTCGCTTGGTTACGCTGACATAGCCTCTCAAGGCTATCAGCTTAGGTAGGAAAATAATAGTTTAAAAAAACTAACAAAATACGCTTTTATAGAAAATCCAGCTAAAAAATAGAAAATAAATTTTAATAAATTAGAATTAAAAGTAGTGTAAGAAAAAATGATTTTATTGTAAAGGATTTACTATTTACTACAATTTTTTAGTTGGATTTACTATAAAAGTGTATTTTGTTAATTTTTTTTTAATCTAAGATTTATATTTCATTTTTTAGTTCAATTTCAATTTTTTCAATATATTTTTTTGAATATTGAATTGTCATCGGTCCTTAATAAGTATACAAAATTTCGAGTTAATCCGACGTTTTGAAGGGAGTCAAAATCATGTTCAAAGATTCCGTTACAAACATACATACGTCTGAAACTAATAAAAGCGTATTAAAAAAAAAACCAGTTGTTTTTAACGTTCGAAAAATGAAATTCGAAATCGAAATCGCTTTTTTCCGGGTACGGTGCCTTTGTATACGGGGTGTGCTATATCCGAATTATATCCTAAGCGTCTTCCTCTTGGTCGTGGTGGTGTCGCTGGAGTACGGCCAGCCGTTGCTGCGTCACTTCCAGATGGTGCTTCCGCCATTTTATACGCCGATTTTGGAACCACACCTTCACCTGTCGATTAATGATTGATGACGTCACGAGCACGGTAGTCGTCGCGGCCTAATGGATAAGACGTCCGGTGCATTCGTGTGTAGCGATGCACCGGTGTTCGAATCCCGCAGGCGGGTACCAATTTTTCTAATGAAATACGTATCTAACAAATATTAACTATTAACTTCTACGGTGAACGAATAACATTGTGTAATAAAAAATGAAAACCGCAAAATTATAATTTGCGTAATTACTGGTGGTAGGAGCTCTTGTGAGTCCGCACGGGTAGGTACCACCGCCCTGCCTATTTCTGCCGTGAAGCAGTAATGCGTTTCGGTTTGAAGGGCGGCGCAGCCGTTGTAACTATACTTGAGACTTCAACTTATATCTCAAGGTGGGTGGCGCATTCACGTTGTAGATGTCTATGGGTTCCAGTAACCACCTAACCCTGGGGTAGGTAAATCGGAGCAATAAAAACTTAATTAACTCACCTGAGCTTCCGTGAGATGCAAAGCATGCGCTAAATACAGCCTCTCGGGGCCGACCATGTACTGTTGCCTCTCGAATTCCGCCTCCAGCCGTTCCAGTTGCTCAGGAGTGAATATTGTTCTTATCCTCTTACTCCGGCCCGAGCTGCGGATGATAGGGTGAGTATTAGACATGCTCATAACAGTACTCTATGAAGTAATTCCATATGGCATGACATTTCGTACCGCGTAATATGGCATAAGAACAGTGCTCAGTACCTTATTCTAAAAGTGACTTGTCAGAAATATGCCTGTATTTTTGAGAAAGAGAGAGAGAGAGAGAGAATATTGCGCAGTTTTCGAACGACTTTTGTCCCTACCCATCCGAACGATGACGAAAAATTGGACCGTTAAGTAATTATGACTACGCCTCAAGAAAACCAAGCTGAAGCCATTAATTCAGATACATTTTATTTCCGCGCGGGTAGGTATCAACACCCTGCCTATTTCTGCCGTGAAGCAGTAATGCATTTCGGTTTGAAGGGCGGGCCAGCCGTTGTAACTATACTGAGATCTTACAACTCATATCTCAAGGTGGGTGACGCATTTACGTTGTAGATGTCTATGAGCTCCAGTAACCACTTAACACCAGGTGGGCTGTGAGCTCGTCCAACCAGCAAAGCTATAAAAAAACAAATTTATTTATTTTGTTAATTTAGTTATTATTCTGGTTTCAACGTGTCATAACGGTGGCTTATTTAACTGTTTAGCGTCTGTGATAGTGGGCTGATGTGGGAAAATGAAACAGAGCTACTGAAAACTCCTCCAAAAAGACCACTTAAGTCTCAGTAAATGGCCCCCGTTTTACTGTGATACTTCATCTAAGTTCATTTAATTACATCCCAACTAGCTGACCCGGCAGAAGTCGTAGTACCTCAATCGATAAATAAAAGACCTAAACTTTTGTATAAAATAAACTTAAAACAAACAAAAGGAATCCGTCCGACGGGGGACACATTAAAGGAAAAACAAAATTATTATTTTTATTTCGTTCCGAGCATTTTCATATTTATCTACCTTTTAAACCTTCCCTCCAGGGAAGGTTTAAAAGGTAGACCACTTCCGCAAATAATTCAAGACCAAAATTAGCCAAATCGGTCCAGCCGTTCTCGAGTTTCAGCGAGACTAACGAACAGCAATTCATTTTTATATATATACACAGACAGGTTGATTAATGTCACCAATTAATCAACCTTTACTCAACATAATTTTTCATAAAACAGAATATGTACCTTTTTATTTTTGATAATTTCTATAAAGTCGACACTGGAAACAATGGCGTCGCAAGAATCCATTATCCAATTGCCGTACTTAAAAATAAGGAGGTATATGACAGCGGGCGGTCTACGTGGATACTTACATGTGGAAACTGGCTGGTAGGTAGTAACTAGGCTGGGCCCTGATTCATTGACGTCTATGAATGACAGTGACCATCTTTTCGGTGTTTTATTGCTCTTATACCCAGAAGTGCATGAATGAAAGATTACTGGTGGCCCGGAGGCCTTTCCAGTTTCACCAGGACATGTGGGCGAGCAAAGGCTCTGCCAGGAGAGGTGGGATTTGCTAACAATCGCCCGAGCGCCTCCGAAGGAGACCTAACAACTCAAGAGCAATTGCTTAGCGAATGAATCTACCACCGGATCGGAGTCGCGACCCGCTGAGAAGATCCGGCGAGAAACTCAGCGGGCTGATGCATGGGTTAGGTTGTACGTCGACCTCTTTGTCGAGTTCGAAGAGTACGGTTACCATTCATAGTGTTAGACCTGAAGACGTCTAATGCAATGGTTATTGGACCTGATGGATCCGTAAGGATGTGTCTTGGGCGTCGACGGTGACTAGCTCTTGCACGATCAGGTATCGGGGAACATACGACTTACCTGATGGCGAATTGTTACCGTCACTCATGGACATCAGCAATGCCAGAGGCAGATCCAAACCGCTGCCTATCACTAAGTACTCAAGGCAAATCTCGTTAAAAGAAAAAAAATCGCAAGTGACCAAACCGGGCTCCATATATCGTCGCTGTAAAACCAAAATCTGTTATGTGCCAAAACTCTATTTCGATTTAACGAGTAAAAAAAAGGGTGCGTGTACTTATGTACGCGCGTAAGAAGTTATACTTTATTTTTATTAAATTTATTTCTTTTTTTATTTCAATATTAATCAATTTGAAAAAAATCGATTAAACAACATCCATATCAACATCCTCAAACACGCATATTGGACATCCCGTTTTCTTGACATCGTATAAATTCGGTAATTCTCGGTACGGTTCGGAAAGTTCACCTGCGGCTATATTCAGACTCGCCAAGTTACGTCGGTCGTATTGTAATGAGCGATTTAGTGGGCAACTTCATTTCTGTTAATTTTGTGTTACGGTGCGCGCGCATCGTAAAATTTCACTCTCATCAATTTTTCATAACGCGCCTAAAGAAGTATAACTTCAAAAACATTTTCGTATAAAATTTTCTAAAATATGAAAGTGAATTTTGAAGAACTATATCAAATGAAAGCTATAGATAAATGTTAAAGCTATAGATAGACACATAGCAGTTTTTTTTTATCTATACTAATATTATAAAGAGGAAAGATTTGTTTACGTATTAATATATAGATAAGCTTAACACTAAAACGGTAAATGTTTCCAAAGTTCGTTTTTTTTACCTACCTGATTATAACCTTGAGCTCACGAGCTCAAACTGAGAGAATTCGATAACATTTGCCCTAAAAAGACTAGTGCTTCGCTAAATCTACCACATGATTGTAATTGCGACCCACTGAGAAAGTCCAGCGAGAAACTCCGATGCTTTCAATCCTTTCTATACTCTCCCCTTCAGCATCATCAACGAAAACGGTGCTTAATGGCGCGTAAAAGCTTTGGCCTATGGGGCGATTTTTGAAAATCTATTTTTGTGTGTATGTGTTACTGTAAAAGTCCGAATATTGGTAAATCTTAGGTTTTACCAGTAAATCTTAGGGTCTACCAACACGAGTCGGTAAATCTATACTAATATTATAAAGAGGAAAGATTTGTTTGTTTGTTTGTTTGTATTAAATAGACTCCGAAACTACTGAACCAATTTGAAAAATTCTTTCACTGTTTGGAAGCTACGCTATTTCCGAGTGACATAGGGTATAATCTTTTTGAAAAAAATTAGGGATACTCCAATAATGTAACCCAAGGTGTAAAAAAATTACGTAAAATATTCTTTACATCGCGTGCCCTGCGAAAACTATTGATGATAGAATCAAATAATGTCCTACGACTTTGTAGAACACATTATTATTTACAAAAAATGTCTCGACAGCATATGTGTAACTATTATAGTTATGCCACAATAAGTGTTCTTTTATTTAAAAAAATAAAACAACTTCAAATATCGTTGAAATTTTTGTTAAAGACCCGAGCGGAGCCGGAGCGGGCCGCTTGTACGGTATATAGATAGGGCTGTGAATTATACGAAAAATTTCAAAAGTAAAAATCTCAAAAAGTGCACATAGCAGATTTTGGTTTGACAACCACGATACGTTAGACATTGGAGCTTCAACTACACTAAAACAGCTTCGTAAACGAATATAGTCCTTACCTTGTAGAACATAAGGTATGGCTCCTCGAGCTCTTCATCTGGCCAATCTGCTGCCGGATTTCAGGTCGGGGACTGTCTGTGATAGAAGAGAATTCAAATGAAACACACGCTTTGTTTTGGGCTTTTAAACGGACTTAAGGTCTCACAGCGCTTGGTATTGAGTGATCAAGGAAGCTAATAGACATCAAAACGAGTTTGTCCCTGACACATGAGGTAGAACTTCCAACAAATGTTCACGATTGACTTCCATGGTGAAAGAATAACATCGTGTAATAAAAACAATATCAAACCCGCAAAATTATAATTTGCGTAATTACTGGTAGGACCTCTTGTGAGTCCACACGGGTAGGTACCACCGCCCTGCCTATTTCTATCGTGAAGCAGTAATGCGTTTCGGTTTAAAGGGTGGGGCAACCGTTGTAACTACTTAGTCTGGCCATAAATATTGTTACAAAGGTAAACAAAAAAAAATCTATGGCAAATAACATATATTACTTTTACAGTGTGTTAGTTTAATACATAAATATAAAACAATTTAAAATATAAAAAGCTTATTCGAAGTGGTCTCCATTGGCTGCAATACAGTCCTTTAAACGTTGAGACCAGTTATCAATAGAAGCACGCACTCTTTCCATGAAAAAAATTTTCACTGCCAATCGTACGGATTGTTTTAGGGACTCCAAATTATCATGGCGTTTAGAGCAAACCGTACTCTCTAAAACTGACCATAAATCATAATCCAGCAGATTAAGATCGGGACTAGACGACGGCCAGTCTTCAGCTCTGATGAAACGTTCGTTTTCAACCAAGACTGCGTAGATCGAGCTTTATGACCTGGCGCCGAGTCTTACTGGAAGGACCATTCTTGATTATTGAACATGGTGTTGTTAAGGGGCTTCACTACCTTCTCAAGAATGGTATCTTGATATACTTGTGTCGATGTTTTGATACTTTTTTCACAAAAGTATGGCCAAGTCACTCCTTCATAGCTAATACCCCACCAAACCATCACTGAAGTCGGATAGTGCCCACGTTGCACTCTGTCGACTAATTGGAAAGCTTCCTTAGAGCTTTGAGCATAAATACGGTCATTTTATTTGTTAAAATGTTGCTCAATTGTAAAAATTTATTTTCTCATCCGTAAACAAAATCTCAAATTTTTTTTTACCACCCTATTCTCTTTTAAATTATCAGTTAAGAAATGACCAGTACGTCTCTTATAGGCTGCAAGTCCTAAGTCATCTTTTACAATACGCGACATGGTTCTAGGTGATATCTTCATCTCCCGAGATAAAAGCTTTTGCTTTCGGACAGGATTTCTTCGAATTCTTTCCCTTACTGCTTTAACCACCTTTTTCGTACGAACACTACGTGGACGGCCCGATCTTTTTCTGTCACAAACAGAGGAGGTCTCATTGCACCTATTAATAGCCCGGTACACAAACATTTTACTAATACCAAGCGTATGGAGAGTTTTAAAAATTGCATTTGGCTCCATACCTACTTTGTGTAATGTAATCACAGCGATTCGGTTCTCTTTATCACCCCACTCCATTTTAATATCGTAATACAATGTATTGGCGTATCGTAGTAGGTACTATTGGCGCCAAAATGAGAAAACTAATGAGCAATAATATAAAAATGACAGATTCCAAATTCAAATGTAATATGTTTATTTTTAATTGTAACAGTATTTATAGCCAGACTAAGTATACTGAGACCTTAGAACTTATATATCAAGGTGGGTGGCGCATTTACGTTGTAGATGTCTATGGGCTCCAGTAATCATTTAACACCAGGTGGGCTGTGAGCTCGTCCACCCATCTAAGCCATAAAAAAAAAGACGAGCATACGGCCCATCTGATGGTGAGTGGTTACCGTCGCCCATGGACATCAGCAATGCCAGGGGCAGAGCCAAGCCGCTGCCTACCGTTAAGTACTCTTCACGAGCCTCGTTCGAAGAAGGACATGTCATAGCGCTCGGGAAACACCGTGGAGGGGAGCTCATTCCAAAGCCGGATGGTACGTGGCCAAAAAAATCTCTGGAAACGTACTGTGGATGAACGCAGTGGCTCCAGGTAGTATGGATAAGCTCTATTCCGGTGGTGCGAAATCTCACACATATATACCACCTTGCTTATTTCTGCTGTGAGGCAGTAACGCGTTTTGGTTTGAAAGGTTGGGGCAATAATTGTGCTAAGGTAAAAACTGAGATTAATATGTGCTAGCTTCATTGAATATGTAGGTAAGCTTAACGTAGGTAAGGTAAGCGTAAGATTAGCTTCGGTAGATTTTTTATTTATCCCGAACCCCAGCGCGTAACAAAAGAAAAACCGTTTTAATGTTCCAATTCATGATCAGTGACGGATAGGTACTGGTGTAATATGTTATCCGGCTACTGAGATAGTTTTTGATGTCCGATCGGCATGGCCCACCGAGGGCCAACTTGAGATGTAAGTTTTTTCCTTTTTTAATTTTTTTTTTGGAGCCGGTGACCGAACCTACTACGAGGTCCGTACGGTACGACCGCATCGCAGTCCGCAGCCGCCGACGCGTCGTCCCGTCCTCCTGGTGCCAGCGCGCTAGAGTGACGGCAGCGTGCGGCGCAGTCTCAACCCCCTTAGGTCGTCCCGTGACCATCACCCGGAGGAGACTGCCTCCTCATAGGGATCTGTTTTTTTTTACTGCCCTAGCCTTAAAATTGGACTTAAAAAAAGAGAAGGATGAATTCCGAACTTTCACTGATTAAAATAGAATTAAGTAAGAGACTTCAGTCATGACAAGTTACAAATTATATTACTGACGGTAGTGTAGTTGTTAGCGGTCAGGGTGGTGAATTCGGTACCCACATTGGGCGAACCTTCGCGTGTAACGAAATGGATTTTTTTTATTGCCCTTATAGGCAGACGAGCATACGGCCCAACTGATGGTGAGTGGTTACCGTCGCCCATGGACTTCAGCAACGCCAGGGGCAGAGCCAAGCCGCTGCCTACCGAACCAAGCCTCTCTGCAAGCACTCTTGGCTGTACATTTTGATAGAGTATCTTACCTTCTGTGGCGGGTAGCCATCATATAACGCAAGATATTTGACAAATGCCTGAATTTCGCTTACGACATTTTCAAGATAAGTTCGCACATATAGAAGTTCCGAACAACAACATTCGGACCGTCGGTCTACCGAGTAATATCATCCGCTCGGTGGAAGATCTTCCCTTTATCGTACTACATCTGCTACGCCTACATCTGCTGCCCTACTAATACAAATAGCTATGCTATTATCTTAAAGTTTCAACCTGTACAACAAGAAACGCCCAGCAGATTATATTAGTAGGTTTTGAAGAAACAATTTTGGCGGGCAAATTATCGCCCTCTCAAAAGCGACCGCTAAACAAACTAGAATATTTAATTTTAAAACGACAATATCAAATAAAACGTTAGAACGCGTAAAATCGCGACCCCCGTACGATCCTCGGGGGTGGATTACTGATAATAGCCAGTTAGGAAGGGTGCAGTTTTAATTAAACACAAAGTCATTCCCTTCATGTTTAATACGTTAATGAGACAAAACTTAGGGTCGAACTTATTTCAATCGGCTGTCTGATTGAGGACGCATTTGCCTTAATTTAGATCAAATAAAATTAACTAAAATCTGAATCTGAATTAAGTGTATAATCTATGGTAAATACTTTTTGGCGGGAACGCGAGGAGTGAAGTTGTGTGATTTGTTTTATTTTGTCTATTTAGTGTTTCTTCAGGTTTAAATGTGTAATAACGGTGGTTTATTAACTGTTTAATTTCTGTGAAAATGCACAAATGTGGCAAAATGAAACAAAGCCGCTGGACGTAACTTCTCTGGATCCTCCAAAAGTCCACTGAAAGTCTCAGTAAATGACCACCATTTTACTGAGATTATATTTCATCCCAGATCATCTCATCTCATTTCATATGATTTCATTTCACATAAAATATATATATATATATAACAGATTAGGCTGTACAGTATGATACCTTTGCCATTATAATTGAAAAAATAAAACTACTACTACCTACGGAAAGTAAATGTCACTCGCAATCGATTCATATTTCATTGAAAATTAAAGAGTGTAAAGGTATAAAAGGTCCAGCTCAACGTATTATAAAGTGTCCGCTGCAAGGGAGCCAATTAAGTTAGCGCCACAGTAGCAAGTGGAAAGATTTTGAAAACGGCGTCATAATAAAGAAATACTTCCTACGTAAACGCTTAATAATAAAAACTAGTGGTCCCAATGTAGTCGAAATTCGACTATAATCAAAGACTTTTTTTTTTAAGAGATTTTATGACCTGGTAACTGAGACCTTTAAGTCATGTCTTAATTTAATGTATATTATTCATATTTTTATGAAAAATGATATTATGGAGTGAAATGAAATTAAGATGATAATTAAAGACTATTATATTTCTTTAATCACAGATTTCGCCAAGACTACACTTTATACAAATATTAATAAAGACACACAATATTCAATCTATTCTCAATTTGACCACAGACTTTAAACAATAAGAAAAGTTTGACAATAAACAAATAGTATGCATGCGTTTGTGTGTCAAATACATGGTAGCTGTGTGTAATGTTTTCTTTATTGTTTTAATGGTTTTTATATGCATAATTTAAAAAAATGCTATCGTTCTGCACTCCTTCTCTATATTTTATATAAGTGTGGGAAATTTCGTACTCCTCCATCCGCGCAATTTTTTGTAAAAATGGGTACAAAGTTTTTGCTTCACGTATTAATATATAGATAAATAGTTGAGTTTTTAAATACTGCATATTTTTTAAATACAAATTTTCAAAACAAGCCACTAAAAGTATTAAATTTTTGAACCCAACACACTTCACTTTGTTTAAAACCGCTATATTCCCACCATTTCCACTTTGTACACTAGCGCTGTTTCGTTGAGTCTTCCAACAATAACTCGCTGTTTACAGGTGGACACATTTGCAACTTGTCCCCTATACAAGATGACGCTCTTTACTTCTACCCTTCAGCTAATTCGATTACAAAAAAAAAAACACTATTGGGTTTCCGTTTGCGCGA